TTTTTTTTTTTTTTTTTTTTTTTTTTTACCTAATTTTCTATAGCAAAGGAAAAGAAAATCTGCTTAAATAAAAAAAGATTCCAAAGTTCGACCCCTACTAAAACGGATAGTTCACGTAACGGCAAAATTCACCGCTCTTTTTTCTTGCCAGTTGTTCTCATCACAGATTCATAGCGCCAATAATATTAATATAAGTTTTCTCCTTTACTTTTTTCCATCGAGGTGTTCAAATAGTTGTACTTGTACACGCGATTAATAGTAACTTTATATCAAAAAATATTAAGTACCCATGAACCCAAAATCCTGGATTCGCCGCTGTTTGCAACTCATAAAATAAAATTATAATAACCGAAAATAACATTTGACATAGTTTAGTTGTTCGTTGCAGGTATATACGACTTCCGTATTCAAATTTTAAGCCGCTGAAATTGAATTATGTTCATGACATACTTTAATTTCAAATGCTTAGTTAACTTTTGTTACCTAATATTTGATACTCATTAATATGGGGAAAGCTAAAATGGCAGAAGCTTTCTTGTTTAATTCCCACTATTCAAGTCAGGTTAAAGAAAAATTATCAAATACACCACATAGTCTAGTAGGAAGTGGGCTATTTTCTGTCCATACTCAAGTTTTTCGATCTAAATTAATGACGGATTTTATTGTATCATTTGTCGAAATTATGGTGAAGACAGAAATTATGAATCACATCCTTATAAAGGGTCTATGTGGTGCATGAAATGCGTCCTGGTTTGTCCAGGGGTAAGAAAAGAGTAGATGTATATTGTATACCCATGTAACTGGGTCGTCACTGCTTTGGTCTAAGTGGTAAGATATTAGCACAAACTTCACAAACTTGTTGCAGACAAAAGCTGTTGTATTTTAATAGAGGGGTTGGGCCCATGACTTTTCGAGTTTCTGAATCGTGTGCTACTAGCCTTTGGAGACCCCATACAATTGGTTTTTAGCCGTGACCTTTTGTAAACATTTAACCCGTTGATTTTCCTAAAATATTAACTGAACTGACTTGTGGTTTGATTGTGCTCGAGTTTATGGATTTTATAGTTGGAATTTGAAATACTTGCACTCATAAAACTGGGATTGTGTGATTGTATTTGAAGAAATTTAGGCTGTCATCTTAATATCTGATCTTGTTGCCCCTTAGGTATCTTTGTGGTGGTCTTTTACCCTCTTCGCTAGCTTCGGTCTTTCGCTAGCTTCACATTCCCATTGTCTTGTAGTTGTCTATCTATCTCATATTCATAGAAGAAGGAACTTGCTTAATGCCATACCCAAGTGTAATTAAGTAGTGGCGAGGCATAGAATAGTTTTTTAAGTACGTGCTAGCGGTAGAACTATTGGTCATTGGAGCTTTTTTTACTTTTAGCCCGCGCCAGAAACTATTTACATTCGATAGTCAAAAAAGTATATAAAATTTGTATATAACATACGTAATGTGTATATATACAAAATGTATACAAAAATGTATATTTTTTCGGCTATAATTTTGAAAGCGGCTATACAGTGTCATTTTCCCTGGGAAGGAAATCTTTAACTACTTAATGAGGGTGAAATTAAAAAATAGCCAAATTTACAAGGGGTAATTAAAAAATAGCCACAAGTTCAAGAGTAATTGAAATTTAGCCACTTTTCATGTAAAGATAAATCTGAACGAAAATATTGTTCAAAATTTGGAAAAATATTCCAGCATAATATACTGGAGTTTTAGTATAATATAATGGAGTTCCAACATAATATACTAGAGTTCCAGCATAATATACTGGACTTCCAGCATAATATATTGGAGTTCCAGTATAATATACTGGTCCAGCATAATATGCTGGAAGTTCATACACAGGTGCTCCAATCTCTAGTATATTATGCTGGAACTTTCCGTGTGTTGGAGTTCCAGCATAATATGCTGGAAGTTCATACACATGTGCACCGATATCCAATATGTTATGCTGGAACTTTTCGTGTTGTAGCAAAATAGTTGCTATTTTTCATTGATTTTGCAAACGCTGATTATTTTTCAATTACCAGTTCAAAAACTAGTTAGCAGTGATATTTTTACAACCTTCAAGCCCATAAATTGTTGCGCATAAAGCCCAAATCGCAGCAAATACCCTTCATTAAACTCTCGAACTGGCATCAAATTCCACCAGACAAGTACTGGTAAAGTGTACCATTAAGTCGAGGTAATGTCAGTACTCAGTAGCACAGAAATCACTTTAACCTTATGATTTTATGATCCAATTTTACAGTGGGAAGGACCACACTGCTCTGAATGTTTTAAAAACACCAAACAGAAACATAGACTAGGATGGTCCTCTGTTTACAGGTTACCCTAATGAATTTACGCACATAATAAAGGAGAAGACAAGCACCAGAACTGGATCAAATTCACCCCCACGGCACAGTTGTCTCATTTACTTGTTTTCATGGCTTTGTACGACCCGCAGAAATTTGATCTCCTATCGATCTTGATGAGATTTCTGTTATTATCCCTATAAAACTTTAATGGTGGTCCCTAGTTGCCGGATGAAGGAACGCGTTAAACTAAACACATTAGATTAGCGTAAATCGTAAAACGAGAACTTACTTGTTCTTGTAGCGGAAGCGGAAGGAACGGACGAACCACGACTGAAATTACTGGTCGGCGATGGTTGTCACAGTGTGTTGGAGCAACCCCTATTTCACAATCTAAAGCCTAATCCGACTTTAGGAAAAGACTAGACGTAGAAAAATACTGCAGAGCATCAATTTTATTGTACACAAAGTGTACTTATATAGGAAATACGAGGGTTAACTAATAACCATGTTAGGCCTTAAAGCACTCCTTATGGGTGGACCCAAAATTTTCTACATCTCCCACTCACACATAATGGGAGAGCTCATCTAGTGTGAGAAACATATTCTCATCTCATCTCCTCAATAATTCATACAGGGAAGTAGACCATGCGACCAACATACTGTGAGTGCTAAGTGCTATACATATGTTAGGAGTATATAGCCTCTCGTCGAGTACAAACCTGCAAGTAGATCATAAAGTATGCAGTACCCTAGACCATATGAATCACATTTGATATACTCTCAAAATCTCATATATCATTGTTTCTTGTATTCACAATCATAACTCAGAAGTTATAATTGGTGCACTAGTGAATACAAATAAATGAAATTCCATCAATGATCGTCCTCTTCTCATGATTCCCTTAACATCAGTATGACTGCTTTTCTAGATATGCTCCGCTAGACCGAATCTGTATACATGGTCTTTTGAAAACACACTAAGATAGCTAACATCACACTAAGTCTCAAGTATCTGATTAGAGTCTTTGAGGGTACAAAATCTTGAGCTATCATAAAAGCTCCGGGTCTCACAGTACAATAAATTGAGAATGGACTTATGTTAACCCAATTGGTCGACATTAGCACACATGATATGAAACACGTGCTACAATATTTTTTCCTTTTTCCCAACGAGTGTATGTCTTTATCTCATAAAGGATGTTGTACATATGATATTTAGACACCATAAGTATCTAAATTTGAGTTTCTTGATCTACAAAATTATATTTAACTCACATCTTGCTCACAAAGTAGACTAGGTGAACAATTTTC